CAAGTGCTGAGATCAAAGAAATTTTCAGCAAGTGGAGTGAAGTGCAGGTTTTCATTGAGAAACATCACTCTAACAAAGGAGGATGTGAAGGATCCCAGCCGAGCTGTGGACATTTTAAATGACAATGTGATGTCCCATTTTCGGAAAATTATCCAACAAAGAAAAAGACATGTTTCTGGATCGTTATTTTGGGAAAACACCAGCCACCGAGCCAGCAATCGAACCACTTCCCAGGATGCAAACACGAGAAAAAAACACCAGAAATGCCTACGCAGTTGCCCGACGTTATTTTGGAATGGGACTCTCCTTCGAAGGAGTAGTCTTCCTCCTCCTCCTCTACCATCTACCTGTGCCAGTAACTATCAACCGCAAAGGTAAAGTTATAGTACTGTATGTTTTATATGATATATTTTTACCACACGTAAATTCATTAAAAAGAGTCAACAAACAATATGTTTCTGCGGCGCGCGAACGGATTAATTGTAATTACATTAATTTCATTGGGAAAAACTGTTTCGACTCGCGAACGGAGTCAAAGAACGAATTAAATTCGTGACTCGAGGTACCATTTTACATCAGCGAATGTAAAATGAGACCGAAATAATAGCCAGATGGCTTCAAACGCGTTCTAAAGAAAATCTCAGCAAGATTCGAATGTGTGAACTGCCCTTGTGTCTGAAATAAATTATGATCCATGACCTTTTAAGGCTTGAACTTTGAACACAGGGTGACCAAGAACTAAATACTGCGCTGGCAAAATTAAACCGTCTCATGTTAGAGGTGAAAGGTTGATGGGCTGAAGAATGATTGAAGACCAAATTTTTGGGTCTGCAAGTCCACTGTCTGAAGAAAAAAATTTGCCCGGACATATTTCAGGGAAGCGTGTTGGGCGTTTGATTTGAAGAATTTTACTTTTATATCGAGCAGCAAGAAGTCACTAAATAAAGAACCAGAAGTTTCGTGACAGGATGAAGTCACTCTCTAGTTTCTACTTTTACTTTCTAATTTCCGAAACGAATTGTCGACATTTCAGCTTTTTCTCTCCCCAAAGTTTTGAAATCTATTTTCTCAGATAAATATGGCAATTTTAATTAATGCACTAATTCTTGCTACAGGGCAGTGTAACCTGCAGTTTCGTTTATAGCATAAGTTGCTTTGAAATCAGTGGATGATGCATTGAAGCTGAGATATTGCAAATACATTTAGTCTGATGTACCTTTTGATTACTTTTAGCTAAATCCTTCGCGTGCCGCTCGTGTGGCTCATCTGCATCGGTATTTTTCACGTAGTTTTTGTCCGTCAAGTCTGACGACGGAAGATACTGTTTTTGACAGTGAAAAACAAGCTTCTAAGGAGACAGTAGCTAGCGAAGAACCGGAAATTGGTAAAGAAGGATTAGATGGAGCAGCGGATGCCTACCTCTTTCGTCGCGAAGAACGAATTCTGCAGAAATCGCATTCCGGAAGCTGGGCGGACACTTGTACAAGAGAGGTAATGATAAGCTAAGTTTATCTTTCATTTCTTTTTTTGACGTATCGATTGGTTTTATTTCAACAGTGGCAGTAGGTACGCATCTGCTAACGATTATTTACCCATTTCACCCTTTTGCTAAAATCCTCCTTTAAGTGATCCGTTTATTTTTTTATGCGCTCTTTCATGCTACGTTTGAATTGTCGAAACGTGTTCAAGTTGTTCGGGAGACGGCACCCATAAACAAGGTACAGGATGTAAATTAAGCATATATTTTTTGCTGAGATTTCTCGGCAAGTGTTTCATTATAAACGTACTGCAGCATACTTTGCACTTAATTCAAAATGTGAAGATGGTGGCATAACCTTGGACGGAACGTAGAATTAGAAAACGATGGACGATGTTAATTCATAGTGCACACCACGAACTTTTAATCGTTTTTAAGCTGAAAATGTTGTTGTTTACGGTATCCTTTGTTATTCTTAAACTTATTTTCTGCGGAACTCGAAAATTTGGCTGTTATTTTGGCATATACTTACCGCCCATTAAGCTGCAGTGCCTTTGCTGTTTTATTTCGAAAAGAGTTTAGACTTTACTTTATATTTGGTATCTTAGACTCCGCGCCGACGCGTATCAGAGGAAAGCAGTTTACAAGATGAAGTTTTTTTCAATTGTGCGTCTTCCATGCCAAAGCTATTTCCAGATCAGCCACATACTGCTGTTGATGGAGGACATGTTGGACGGATTATCACTCCCTCTTTCATAGTAAGTGTTTCATGTTCGTTTCGTTCAAAATGCATGGTAATATGTCAGGTGGTTTAATTGCGTTTCTGATATTTGATAACGGTGGATGCTTCCTGATCAGTTTCACCAGTTCTCAGGCTCTAGTATTAAATGAATGGTTCTTTATTTTCTATGAAGTTCCTCGGGGCGATGGCTTTCGTTTGTGACATTCAACATTCATGACATTATTTTTCTCCTCTGAAAAAATGCCATCCGTAGAAAAGGAATAGGGAAGTTGAAAATCATCAAGTCATGTTTTTTTCTACCTGGAGTGCGTAGATGTTATTTTTCGACGACTTCTGTTCTCAACACAACTGCGAAGGCAGACAACTTTTTTTAAGAAGTACAAGAAGATGAAAAAGTTTATTCGTTTAGGCAATGATGTTTACTGTCTGTATGCCCTGTTTTGGTAGATTGCATTATATATTTGATTGAAAGATTTCAACTCCTGGAACGTGCTGCTGATGACATTGTATAGTTTCTGCTTCTGCGAATTCTTTACTCTCTTAGAAAAGCAATATAACATGTAAAACTTTTCATGCGCTGGAATGGGATAAGTTTTTTTACTGATTTTGCGGTACTCTAGAATGCAGTACTTATGAATTTCACTTGCAGAAAACGGCTGTCAGTAGCAAAATTGCAGATTATGCAATCAGTAATACTTTCCTAATCTAATTTGTTGATGCGTGGGGGGTAATGCCAAGAAATTAAAGCCATCCAAATTGTTTCAAATCTTCGTGATGAACACGTAGGTGTAACGTTAGAGAAGGCTTGGCGGTTTGTGTATCTAGGTTACACCAGCAGTTGCAACGTCAATATCTTGTCAGAGTGAAATAATGGGAGCTACTTTGCGTCCAGTGATTTTTCCAGCTCAATGCCAGCGCACTGTAGACAATGACTCTGTTCTTTTCCAGCTACAGATGTTCTCAGTAGACGCACGGGTTAAGAAAAGGAGGTTACCTCTGTTAGAATGATTAAGCATGATCCATGTATTCCAGCGCGAACTTCAGAAAGTTATCATAAATAGCAGCACTAAATCTTGTTTACTTTTACAGGTGAACTATATTTCAGAATAATATACGGTGTAGTATTTGTATAAAGCCGTAGATGGCCCTCCTTTGATTGAAGGATTCATTATGTAAAACGTCGAAATCCTTTTTTGTTTCTCACCGGGGTTGCTCTGTCGCAAGAGTGTCGGACTCAGAACCGATAGGTCGTGGGTTCGACTTCGAGCCCTGGTCGGGTCATTCTCCTTTCTTCCTTCTGAGGTTTATAAATGAGTAGCACAATGTAGGAAGGAAACAGTAAGGCACGCGCTACGCTTTCCGCGTAGCTGCTGTCGACTCCTTTAAAAATAAGATACTCCTGGCTGATA